ACTGTCCCTGCATCCTCCCTGCGAGCCGGGCGAGCGGAACCTGCTGGGTGTCGAGGGCTGGACTGTTTCTGAGCTGGTCCTGTGGCCCAGGGCCCCTGCCCCACCCGGCCCTGGGCATCTGGCCCTTGGCCCCACCTCCTCTGTGTCTCTGAGGGGCACCGTCGACACCCACAGACTCCCCCGCACCCTCCTCGTGGCCCAGCCAGGGCGGCCATGACCAGGCAGCAGACCAATGGTTTCTGAGCAGCTGCTGGGAAGGCCAGACCCGAGCAGGGCTCCCAGCTCTGCAGACCCTCCTAGACTTTGGGAGACTCCCTGGGCCACACGGAGAGGGGGCGTAGAGACCCAGGTGGAGGCCCGATGCCCTGCTCTCCCGCCCACATGTGGGGAGCAGGGAGGCTGTGGCTGCGATGAGGATTAGGATTAGGGAGGACAAAAGCAATTAATGCGCATCCTCCTTCCCCTGGGTGGAGCTGGGCCAGGGACACAGCCCAGACCCTCAGCAGCTGCCCCACGGGACACCTGCTGGGGTTATCGGCAGCCACTTCCCTTGGGCCCCAATGGGCTCCCCAGATGGGCAGCCCTCAGCTGCCTTCACAGGCCTGCCCCTGGGTGGGCGGCAATGCTGTGAGGGGTCCCAGTGCGGGCCCAGGGCAGTGTGGGGGGCTCTGCAGCGGCCCGGGGCGCTGCTTCTGTACAGGGCGGGGCATGGGGTCTGAAGGACAGGACAGGGCCTCAGGGAGATGAGATGTGACCGTGCTCTCAGCCAGGGTCAGCCAGGCCCTCCTGGGGCTGCTGGGAGCCACCCCCGGCTGCCTGCCCATCACTGGGCCCCAGGCCTAATCCAGCTTAGCGAGCACAGCTCAGCATTCTGGGCAGCGGGGCCAGGCCAGCCCCTGCCTTCCTCTGTGCCTGCCGGGATGGGGCCTGGGGAAGGGCAGCAGCCTCAGGGGAAACCGCTACCTCTGGGGACAGACACAGGTAGGCGGCGGAGGCGCGGGCTCCCATCACCTGTAGACGACCCCCACCCCTAAGCCCTGGCGTCGGTGGGAACGGCCCAGCCCAGCCACGTGCGGTCCAGAGGCAGCCCTGAACTCCCTGCCTCTGTGGCTCCATGTCGGCCTGTCCTTCAGAGGCGGTGAGGTGGGGGCCCCCGGGTCTTCAGCAGGCAGCCCTGGCTGTGTTGGCAACAGCCGCAGCTGCAGGGCCCAGGCGGGGCAGCATCCTGAGGAGCCCGGCTCCATGGCAGGGAGACCCTGGGGGCCACACCAGCCCAAGGGGCGCCCAAACAGGCATAAGGATCCAGCTTGACAAGGGAGACTCAGACCCTGGCCCTACAAGCACAGCCTGCAGTCTTGAGCAGGTCCCTTGGCCTCCCTGAGCTGCACATCCTCCTCACCACACTGGTAGTGGTTCCTCAGTGCTTGCGAGGATGCCCCAGACACCCCTTATCCCCAACCTGTGGGGGGGTCAGAGGGTGGTGGGGCTGGAGAAGGGGAGGAAGACACGGGGGCCACATGGGAGGCAGCGTGTGGGGAAGGACGGGGCCCCGGAGATGAGTGTGGAGGGGGTCTGGGATCAGGTCTGAGAGAAGCTGGGCAAGAAAGGGGTTGTTTCCGTGGAAGGGAGCCTAATTCATCTTCATACCACAATCATCTTTCCCTCCTTGGCTTTGTCACTTTTTTAAAAAGTATTTGACTGTGCTGGGTCCTAGCTACAGCACAAAGGATCTTTAGTTGCAGCGTGCAAGGGGCTGTTTCCCTGACCAGAGATCAAACTTGGGGCCCCCTGCATCGGGAGTGTGAAATTTTAGCCACTGGACCACTATCGAAGTCCCCTTTTTTAAATTGATTTACATTGTTGTGTTAACTTGAGGTGTATAGGAAAATGATTCAGTTATTCATTTTTCTTCGATTCTTTTCCCTGACAAGTTAACACAAGATACTGACGAGCGTTCCCCGTGCTATACAGTCATTTTTCCATCTTCCCCTCTTTGCCTTTGCCGGTAGGGAGCTGAGGCCATGTGGAGTTCTCTGAGTCTGTGTGAACTACGTAGCTTGACCTTTGGTTGTTTTATACTGTTGTTTGTGGCTCTTTCACAAGGATTGTTTTAAATGCTCTGAGTTATATAAAAGCGAAGCATCCACCTATGTTAAAACTCGAGGGGTGCCTGCGGGAACTGTGCAGTGTTGGGGGGGGTGATGGCAGCAGGTCCCACGGAGCAGTGCTTATCAGGCAGAGGCGAGGCCAGAGGCCCTTGTAGAGCTGCCAAACCAGTCCGACGGGGCAGGCGAAGTGCCAGCGGGCAGGGTCCCCCCAGACCCCAGGAACCAGGAAACCGTGAGCACCCACGTGTGTCACCCGTAACAGGGCCCCACGTTTGACACAGCCCTGGTCCCTTCACACCCCACCCAAGACAGGTCAGCCGGGGCCCTGGCATCCTGCGCTGCTCGCCCCTTGTTGGCCTAGGCAGCACCTCCCCCTGGGCCTCAGTTTCGGGGGCACAGGAGCCCTCAGCAAGGGTCCTCCCTGAAGCGGTGGGCCCAAGGAGACGAAGGCACACCCCTCCCGCCAATGCCAGGCCTCTGGGGTGGGTTTCTGACACCACGACACGCCCAGCTCTGCGGCCCGAGAGCTGACCAGACCAGCAGCAGAGTGGACCAGCATCGCTGTGGTCAGGGCTCCTCCTCAGGTGGCAAACAGGTGGCCGGAGTCCAGACAAACCTGGCGGGGCGCTGGGCCGCGCTTGGGGTCAGCAGGCGAAGGCTGACATGCCTCTGGGTCACTGAAGGTTGGCAGCTCAGCCGGGGTGGGCCGAGCTCTGGGTTACGGACCTGGGATCCTGGGGCTCCTGTAAGCACATGGGACGTTTCTGAGGGGTGCTTGGCCCTCCCACCCCTCTGCTACCTCTTAACCTGCCAGGGCAGTCCCAGGAGCGAGGTGCCTTCCGCTCTGGCCCCGGCGGGGGTTTGTCAGCGGCTGCTGTCAGGGCCCCTGCCCTGAGGTTTACTGTGAGGAGAGGCGGGGCAGGGGTGGAGCTGGGGGCCTGTGGGACCCAGGGTGGGAAGGCTTGGCTCCAGGTCACAAATCCGGGAGCAGGAGAGCTGGGCCTGCAGCAGGGCCTCCCCAGACCCACCTCGGCATCCCCAGGTCGTGTGGCAGCTCCACTCTAGGGGGGTGGTGAGCCTTACAGGGCCGGGTGCAGCCTCTCACCTCGAGCCTGCTGAGCGCATAAGGAGCTTTCCTCCCTTCCCCACCAGTCTCTCCCTCCCCCAGCCCGTGTCGGGACACCTGTCACAAATCCCTGCCACGCTTGAGAAGCGTGTTACAGTGGCTTAGGTGTCACCGGGCAGGGATCTGACCTGCGAGGGAGGGCAGGGGCCCCTGAACACGCCCCCTCCCCAGAGCCTTGCAGGGCAGCTGCTGGGGACTGAGCCTGTTTGCTCTTTTGTCAGACAGGGACGGCCCCTCTCCTCCCACCTTGAGGGGACGAGTGGGGACGGGCTCACGAGTGCAGGGTCTGCGGGGCATTCCTGTTGTGGTTCACGGACAGGACGTGTGCCCAGAGCAACCGAGTGGCCCATGCAGGAGTCTGCCATCCCCACTCTGATCGCTCACCCTTTTCTGGCTTCCTTGAAGGGAGCCCTGCCCGCTGCGTGCTGCGGGGGGTGGGGTGAGAGGAGATGGGGTGACGGAGGGAAGGTGCCTGGGAAGCGCTTGTTAAGGGGCAACGTGCAAAGCCAGCTGAGCAGCCGGCCCTCTGGAGCCCCAGGCCAGGGCCCGTTCCACCAGCCAGGCTGCCCCTGCTGGGAGAGCCAGCTGAGCCCAGGCAGGGTGCAGGCACGTGCTCGGGACCAGCCTTGAAGAGGGTGTCCGTCAAGTGCTCCCAGGCCCTGAATTCCACATCACCCCCCGACTCCCCCCAGCGGCCCTTCAGGTCATGCTGCGTGGTCCCTGTGGCCAGTGAGGGGCCCCGTGCATTTCTCCCTACAGGACAAAACTCTAACCCTTGGGGAGGGGCCACGTGCGATGTTCATGGAGCCCAGTGGCTGGTGGGGGTGGCGGCCTGAGACCACCCATGCCACTTGGGCTGGGAGCCAGTGTCCCTTCTGAGCACGAGAGGGGTCCAGAAAGGGCAAGTCCAGAGGTGTCCGGCTCGGAGCTCTCTGCCCTCCAGGAACAACAGAGGCCCAGGCCCTCCTCTCCACTGTGGTGATGGGGGCAGAATGACCATCCCCTGCTTCCTCAGCAGGTGCTGGAACCACCTGTGGGCCTAGGAGGCTAAACAGAATCTGGATGTCATAGTGGGCACAAGTCTGAAGGGCACCTCAGAAGCAGAGCTGACGTGTGACAGATTGTGGTAACTCAGTAGAAAGTTCTGAGTCCCAGTTCCTTTGCTGGAACTGGGGGCTTCCCTGGAGGCTCAGACAGTAAAAAGAGTCTGCCTGCCTACAGGAGACCCGGGTTCGATCCCTGGGTGGGGAAGATCCCCTGGAGAAGGAAATGGCAACCAACTCCAGCATTCTTGCCTGGAAAACCCCACAGACAGAGGAGCCTGGCGGGCTACAGTCCACGGGGTCGCAAAGAGTTGGACACGACTGAGCAACTTCACGTCTCCTTTGCTGGACAAGACCCTTTAGCTCTGGGTGGCTTTCCTTCCTTCTGCACCCAAGTCAGGGTCCGGTCCGGGCTGCCAGGAGCGCGCTGCTTCCAGCGGGGACGGGCTTGTGACAGACCTCGGCCCCGCACACAGCGAAGCTGGGGCCCCGCCCTGAGAAACACCCAGTGTGCTGGCTGCGGCTGGCAGCACCGGGCTTGCTGCTCTCGAAGGGCGTCTCAAGTGTGGGCTGCCAACCAGGGCAGACGCCAGCCTGGCTCTGAGAAAGCAAGGGTCTCCTGACCCCACGACAGGCACAGGGGGCAGCGCAGGTGTTTCTGAGCCCTTTGGGGATGGCCTCAGGGGGCCTCCCTCTGCTCACGGGCCGCCCCTCGCCCCCCAGGCCTGCAGGGACTTCGTGGAGCTAGCGGAGACGCACAGCCGGAAATGGCAGCGCGCCCTGCAGTATGAGCAGGAGCAGCGCGTCCACCTGGAGGAGACCATTGAGCAGCTGGCCAAGCAGCACAACAGCCTCGAGCGCGCCTTCCGCAGCGCCCCGGGCCGGGCCGCCAACCCCAGCAAGAGCTTCAGCGAGGGTGAGCGGGCGCCCGTCCACCCGCCCAGCACCCGCGGCACCCCCTCCGCCAGCTGGGTCAGCTTCCGCGGCCCCCGCGGACATGCACCCCTCCCAGCCACCCCTGATGCCCGCCCCTGCGCCCCGGCACCCCCGTGACAGGCACAGGCTCCAGAGGAGCCCCGTGGCTGCACCTCCCGGGTGCCAGGTGCCGCTCACCTAACCTGGGGCTCGGAGGTCACAGGCGCCCCGGGAAAGGGAAGCTGGGCCACTGACCAGAGTATTCGGAGAGCGGGGGAAGCTTCCGGAAAGAGGGAGGCTCCCTGAGCAGAAGGCTGAGGGGAAAGTGCGTTCCGGGGAGGGGGGCAGGGCAGCTCGGGTGGGTGATGCGGGCTCGGGACTGCCCCGGGGGCGGGGGGCGGGGGCAGGCGAGACTGCCCGCGGAGGTGGCGACGGTGTGTGCCCCTAGGAAGCCTCTTAACCAGCAGAGGCGAGGACAGCGAGGAGGATGAGAACACCGAGTACTTCGACGCCATGGAAGACGCGGCGTCCTTCATCACCGTGATCACCGAGCCCAGCGAGGACAGGTGGGCAGGGCGGCGGCGCCTCCTCGGCCGCCTCGGGCTCTGCACTCGGGTTCTCGTTTCAGGCTTGCTCCGGGCGCTGGTCTTGCTGAGGCTAGGTTCCGTGCCTCCTTGAATCAAAAATGCCCAGACGACGTCTGTACGGGGATTCCACTTTTAAACGGAGAGCAGGGCGCTGGCCGCCGCAGAGCTGCAGGGTCCCGGGCTCTCTGTCAGCATTCCAGAGCAGACCAGAGACAGGAAGCCTCTCATTCTCCATCTCGAAGCTTTTGTTTCCTTTCTCGTAAAAGCTAGCTCTTTTAGGATCTTTCTGAATACACATTAGTAGTAGCCGGGACAGCTGACCGCCAGGCTGCCAGTCCCTGGGGCCCTCAGGACGCGCCCAGGCATGCGGCCTGAGCTGGCAGGATGTGCTTGGAGGGAGCAGAGTGAGGCGAGGCTGTGGGCAGGAGCACGAGCTCCACAGGGTTAGGGCACAGGCCTCGCCAGGGTGCCTTAGGTCCTGATACCGAAGGGGTCAGAGGGCCGGGGTGGGGGGGCTGTGTTGGCTGGCATGGGGGCCCCGACCTCGACCTGGGGAGGAGCTGCCTCTCCAACTCCCGGGGACGCCGACAGAACTGCCCGCGGCAGCCATGTGGCCCCCTGCCCACCACGTGCTCCCTGCCTGTCCCCAGGCGCATTAGGCGTCCTGGCAGCCCCAGACCCACGCCTGTGCCACTGCCCCCACCCCAGGCAGCCATCCCAGGCCCCTCAAAACCCAACCAGGCCAGGAGGGGCGAAATCCTGTGGCTGCTCCTCTGCCTGCGTGGACCAGCGTGGCTCGCTGCCCCCCTGCCCTGGGCTCTTCCAGGGAGAGGCCTGGTTTGCCGTCCTCTTAACCCTGAGGGAATCTGGTGGCTCAACAGTGTATTTCCAACTCATCTTCTGTTTCCCAATAATATTTGAAACAGTTTTTTAAAAATTCTGACTGCCCAGGGGTCTGGGTAGAAGGGGGTCAGGTCCCCAGGAGGCCTCGGGATTTGTAAACAACTTACCTTCTTGTTTGTGTTTCCCACAGAAAAGCTGAGCCAGGGACTACAGGCTCCGTGGAATGGACCGCAGACAACGTGAGTGAGGGGATCCTGGGCGGGGGAGTAGGGAGGCGGCACTTTGACCCCAGGCCCCTGGGGGGTCCTGCACCCTGGGTGCCTTCACCTGAACTCAGGCAGAGCCTGCCCCTTCCGCCAGCAACGCGATGACAGGCAAACTCTGCTTCTCTGGCAGATGCTAGATGATGCCTCACTTGTGCCCCAGGGGCCTCCCAAAGTCAAGAGGCGTGTCCGCATCCCCGACAAGCCCAACTACAGCCTTAATCTCTGGAGCATCATGAAGAACTGCATCGGCAGGGAGCTCTCCAAGATCCCCATGCCGGTAGGGGCCAGGCAGGGGCCCTGGGGGGGCTGTGCTCACGCCTGGAGGGGAAGCGATGACCCGTGGGAAGCGCACGCAGCCCTGGGATCATTTTCTTAATGGCACACTTGAGCACATAAGGCAGTATTGAGTCGGTCCACCCGCACTCCTGACGTTCCCCCAGGGCAGAGGTCTCAGACTCCGGGAAGGAGCCTGGGAGGGCCCTGCTGATCAGATGTGGGGCTCACAGACCGCCGCCTGCCCCGGCGGGAGGGGAACGGCAGGGCTGGGCTGGGTGTGGGCCGAGTAGGCCTGCCCGCTCCGAGCCGGGCTGTCCCGGGTCCCCACCACAGCGAGGTCCCCGCACTGCCGACCCCAGCGGCCTCTCCACAGAGGGGAGCCGGGGCTCCAGGTCAGACTTGATGTCGCTCTGTGACCCAGGGCAGAAAGCTGCACGACAGCTCAGAACACAAGGTGGACCCATGTCTTCCACTCACTCACTCGCTCGGTCCCTGACTCCTAGGAGTCACTGCCGTGGCGCCTGCATCCTGGGAGGGGAAACTGAAGGTAACCTGACAGGTCTGCCAGGGCCGCAGGGTGGACCGTGGTGAGGACTTGGAGAAAACGGAGGCGGGGCGTGGGGAGGCAGGGCAGCAGGGGGCCTCCCAGTGACGTCTCTGGACTGGAGTGGAGCAAGGCTGCGGGGACGACCCCAGGTCTGTGCTGGGAGTGGTGGACGGCCCATGCAGACCCGGACTGACCCCACGCCCGCTGCAGGTGAACTTCAACGAGCCCCTGTCCATGCTGCAGCGGCTGACGGAGGACCTGGAGTACCACCAGCTGCTGGATAAGGCGGCGCGCTGCAGCAGCGCGGCGGAGCAGATGTGCCTCGTGGCCGCCTTCTCCGTGTCCTCCTACTCCACCACCGTGCACCGCATCGCCAAGCCCTTCAACCCCATGCTGGGTGAGACCTTTGAGCTGGACCGGCTCGAGGACATGGGCCTGCGCTCCCTCTGCGAGCAGGTGAGGCCCACGCCGCTCCAGCTGGGCCGGGGGTCAGGGTCAGACCAACGGGACACAGACTGACTCCGGGGGCCATCAGCCCGAGGTCAGGTCAGGCAGCTGGGTCTCCTGTCGGGGGCAGGTCCGGGGTACCCATGGAGCAGGCTTCCAGGGACAGGGGGGCCGCGTGGGAGGAGCGCTGGGGGGAGGACGCCCCTTGCGGCCAGGAGCAGTGGGGTAGGGGCCTCTGCAGGGTGCCGTCAGGGAGCCAGGGGGCCTAGAGCAGCTGGGGTCTCCGCTGAGCTGCAGGCCTGCACCCCGTGGGCTGGGGTCAGCGATGGCGGAGGCTGGGGGTGAGGAGCCCCAGGCCCCACCCTGGCACCCTCGTCTGCAGAAGGGTGGTTGCAGCGGTCCGCACCGCGTGCTGGGGGGACACGGCAGTCAGAACAGACCGGGTCGGGCTGCCGCTGAGGTCTCCTCAGTGTTGGCCGCTGCCGCGGGCCCAGGACGCCGGCAGTCTGCGGCCCAGTGGCTGGTTTCCAAGGCGGGCTCGGCCTGCCGTGTGGGCCTGTGGAAAGCCCGACCAGGGGAGGTCAGAGGTCGGGCAGACGTGCCTTCCGGAGGGGTGGTGTGAGGAGGGGGCTGGGGAAGGTGGCGATGACCAGGGTGCCTGAGCTGAACAGAGCTGATCTGAACCCACGATGAACCAGGAGGTGCTCGCGCTGAGGGGTCTCAGGGGCCGGGGCGGGGATAGATACTGTGTGAGTGGATGGTTCTGGCTCTTTTAGGAAGGGGGGTGGTTTGGGAGCAGCTTGGCTGACAGACTGGGGGAGAGACAGCCGCTGAGGGCAGAGAGAGGGGAGCGGGCGGCAGGAGGCCTCTGGGTTTTCTCTGTGTGGAGGCATCACTGGAGGAGAGGAGGCCGTTTTATGGGGAACCCCCACCCCGCACTGCCATGGGGAGGGTGCAGCGGGTAAGGCTGGAGCACGGGAGCTGGAGGCAGGGCGGGTTCTGGATGCGGTTTTAAAGAACAGCCAGAAAAAAAATAAAGAACAGCCAGGATTTGCTAAGGATTAGAGGAGTGTGAGAAGAGGAGCCAGGCATTTGGTGTGAGCGCCGGACGGACGGGGCCATCTGCCCGAGGAGGAGGCTGGGCAGAGCTCCAGGGCGCGGGGTCACGTCCTGAGTTTGTGGGGGTGGGCTTCAGGGGGGCCCTGGCAGCTCACTCGTCACCCAGGGGCAGCTGGCAGGTCTGGGCTGTGGAAGGAAGGGGGTGCCGCTGTGGGGAGTGTCAGGAGCTTCTGGGGGAGGGCTGAGCCCACAGCTGCCGCTCCAGGTGGCCGCAAGGAGGGGCTTCACCCCAACCCTGAGATCAGGAGCCACAGAGACGAGAAGGACCGAGTGCGGGAACACTGATGCGGTGGATGTGGTGTCCTCATCAAGACATGGTCAGGGTGCCCGGTGCAGGAGAGGACGGGTGGAGGTGCCCGGTGGGCTGATGCGGTGGATGTGGTGTCCTCATCAAGACATGGTCAGGGTGCCCGGTGCAGGAGAGGACGGGTGGAGGTGCCCGGTGGGCTGAGCAGGTGGGCACCACCATCGGGCTGGGCAGGGTCCGGCCTCGACACAGCGCAGCAGACGAGGCCTCTGCGGGCCAGGTGCAGCGTGACTGGAGAGTGGCCTGCAGGCCCCCTAGAGCCCGTCACGCTCACTTATTCACCCCGTTGCCACCCCGCCCCAGAGCCCAAGTCAGGTTAAGGTGTGGAGACCCCCAGGCCCCTGGCTCAGGCCCGCAGGGGTGGGGCGCCCGCCCTGCCTCCACCCACCCAGGCTGCCCCACTGCCACGCCCTTGCTGTGCGGCTCTCCTTTCTGGGGGTCCAGGGCCCCCTGTGCATCTGTGACTCCCACGGCCATACGGCCATTCACACTGGGCATGGGGCGCTGCCCCCAGCTGGCTGGGGAGGGGCCTGGGCCGGGTCCACAGACGCTCACGACCCGTGGGCCTGGTCTCAGGTGAGCCACCACCCGCCGTCCGCTGCGCACTACGTCTTCTCCAGGCACGGCTGGAGCCTCTGGCAGGAGATCACTATCGCCAGCAAGTTCCGGGGGAAATACCTCTCCATCATGCCACTAGGTGAGCAGGGGCAGAAGATGCGCTGGGGGAGGGGGAGGGTGGGCAGAGCCTAGGGCCTCCGAGGGTAACGCGAGCCCCCCCACAGGCCTCCTGGATCCCCCCTTTGCCTGCGCCCTGTCCCCAGCCTGTACAAATACTGCTTCTGGTCCTCAGGACCCCAGGATCATGGGTGGGTGGGGCAGGTTGGCTGGGACCCAGCATGGCAGGCTATGACCTCTCACCCTATGTCTGGGTTCCAGGTGCTATCCACTTAGAATTCCAGGCCAGTGGGAATCACTACGTGTGGAGGAAAAGCACCTCGACTGTGCATAACATCATCGTGGGCAAGCTCTGGATTGACCAGGTCAGGGGGTGCCCCAGGGGAGGAGCCGTTGGCCCAGGCAGGTGTCAGCCACTGACCACCCCCTCCGTCTGCAGACAGGGGACATTGAGATTGTGAACCACAAGACACAGGACCGGTGTCAGCTCAAGTTCCTGCCCTACAGCTATTTCTCCAAAGAGGTGGCCCGGAAGGTAAGCACGACCACCTCTCCGAGTCTTGGGGGACCCCGGAGCAGGGCACATGCCCACACTGGCCCTGCCAATGCCCACAGGTGACAGGAGTGGTGAGTGACAGCCAGGGCAAGGCCCACTATGTGCTGTCAGGCTCCTGGGACGAACAGATGGAGTGTGCTAAGATCGTGCAGAGCAGCCCCGGCAGCCCCAGCTCAGACGGGAAGCAGAAAACCGTGTACCAGACGCTGCCGGCCAAGCTGCTGTGGAAGAAGTACCCACTGCCGTGAGTGGGGGCTGCGGGGCGAAGAGCGGGCGGGAGGGCAAGCACGAGGAGGCGAGCAGGCCGCGGGCAGGAAGCACGCAGCAGTGTGGGGAGGGCTCTGTCCCCGTGTGAGGGGCAGACACCTAGCTGGAGTCAGGCGTGACACAGTCTGCGACAGGCAGCAGTTGGTCCTACACAGACTCTGAACAGTCTGATCCAGCAGGTCCCCACAGTCCAAGGCACCAACACAAACATGAAAGGAAGGGCAGGAAACAGGAAACTATAAAAACTGGCACAGCTGATTCCAAAGAGAAGCAAACAAATTCTACAGAAGGAAAATAAAGTTAACTGAAATTGAGAACTCCACAGAAAGGTTTAACAGAATGAACCCACTGACTGGCTACAGGTCAGAATAAATAATCAAAATCTTCAGATACGGAGAGAAACCCTGAAAAAGACAAGCAGCTAGAGCGAGAAGGCTGGCCACCTGGGGACCCAGCGTGAGTCCCGGGAGCAGCCCCACGGACACCCCCGGGGCCTGGAGTGTGCAGTGCACGTCGAGTCCGAGAGCAGGGTGCAGCAGGCGGGTCGGAGTCCAGAAGAACGAGACCAGCAGAGGGTTTCCCACATCTGCATCTATACAATGAAATGCTGAAATCGGATCAGAGAAATACTAAGTAGCTAGATTTTTGAAAGACTTTACTTTCCAAGGAACAGCAGACAGACAGACATCTCACTGGCAGTGTCACAGAAACTTGAAAAAAGTCAAATGCAATCTTCCATGTGCAGAAAGACTCACTGCCACATTAGAAGTAGTTGCACACATGGCAAGAATATCTTTACAGACTGAGGTTGAAACAGGCATTTTCAAACAACTCCTTTTGCCACCAGCAGACCTGTACTAAAGGACAGAACTCCCAGATGGAAAAACCAAGATGTGTGAAATGAGGAACAAAACCTACATGAACAGTGAAGAAATACGAACCTCTTATGAAGTTCAAAATCTAAACATTAAACACAACTGCACTCCTCAGTCCATGAAATTCTCCAGGTCAGAATACTGGAGTGGGTAGCTGTTCCCTTCTCCAGGAGAATCTGCCCAACCCAGCGATCGAACCCAGGTCTTTCTCATTGCAGGCAAATTCTTTACCCTCTGAGCCACCGGGGAAGCCCCAGAAAGGATTAACTGGAAGGAAAATTGTCAAAGGCCTTTCTGCTACCCAAGAGGAGGTTCAAGATACACACTAACTTCTGACTGTGTCAACTATGTATATTGTAATTCCTAGATTAACCACAAAATTAATGCTTACTTGAGATCCCAGAAGCAAAGGAAGAAAAAGAAAAATAGGAGAGAGAAATAGTTGAAAGAAATAATGGAGATAAATTTCCCCGTATAAAAATGAAGACATGAAAGACCTTGTGTTTAAAGGGCCCATTAGCATTCCAGAAACAAAAAATAAAGAAAAACTTCTGCCTAGATCACACTATACTGAAAACTAAGAATACCAAGGAGAAAATTCTAATAGCTTCCCAATAGAAAAGATTTCAGTAGAGAATGAAAAATCAAATTGACATCAGATTTTTTTAACAGCCAATGTTGGAGTAATATTTTCAAAGTAATGATGGGAATGAAATTAGAAGGTAAAAGTTTTTGTCCAGTCGAGCTATCATTCAAACATGAGGCTGTGATTTAAAAAAAAAAATTCTCAGGTGAACAGCCCCAAAAGTTCTGGCACACAAAAACCCACAAAGAAAACCGTATTGGACATTAACTTTAAAAGGGGGAGGGAAAAATCCAGAAGGTGCTATAGTACATTACATGAAATAAAAGATTGTGTGTGTGGAAGTAATTACATTAAGACCAAAGAAAAAAAGAGAAAACATTCCCACAATAATCCAGAATTAAAGAGTGTAGATGATGTTAACACGATGGGCTCTGGGGAGACAAAGGACACCAAGGGATGTGAAGGCAGAGACCGATAGAAGATTTTTAAATCACTTAAAATATTCTTTTAAAAAGAAAGGCAAATAAAAACAGTTAACAGAGAAAGCATAATATATAGATGAAATACTAGTTACAAAGCAAAATACTGAATTTTAAAAAATCCAGATGCATGCACCTTCTAAGAAAGGTCCAAAGTATGAAGATGGGCAAAGACTGAAAGTAAAAGATAAACATATCATGAAAACACTAACCAAAAAAACTATAACAGCTATGTTATTATCAGGTAAAAACAGGCAAACGCATTATCAGGAATGGAAGAGTTGCTACATGATAAAAGACTGAATTCTTTGAGAAGATATAAACAGCATGCATGATGCAGACAGTAGGCATGTGGTGAAAGGGCCTCAAAAATACACAAAGTACACACTGACAGGGAAGGGGGAAGTGGATCACCCGCCACCGCAATGGGGACAGATTTCAATACACTCCTCTCACTTGTTGAGTTAGATGGGGGAACAAAACCCAGCAAAATGGAGAGCAAAAAGCCACGGGATATACATATAGTTATGGCTGCAAGAGACAACATGCTTCTTCTCAAACATACACAGAATTTATGCAAAAATCAATTGTGCACTAAACCCAAAAGAAAGCCTCAACAAATGTACAGAAGGTGGCACACAATCTATGATAAGACAAATAAAAAGTTACACACAATACGTCAAAAAGTCCCCCACCTATTTGGGAAAAAAAATTAAGTTGCTAAGTAACTCATGGGGAAAATAATAAATTAGAATGGGAAGTTTTAAATGTTTCTGAGAAAAAAAAACAAAGCTGGCTGGATGTACCAAAGGCAGTGCTTCAAAGGAAATTTTTGCCTTAAATAGGTATATAAGCTTATAAAGTCTCTTTCATTCTAAGAAATTAGGGAAAGTTCAACATACACACTGGAAGAAAAAAGAAATATAGTAGAAGTAAAATAAAGTTTAAAAAGTAGATCTTTGAGGGAAAAAATAAACAGAAAACTACTGGCAAGACTGATCAAGAGAATATAGAAATATGTATTATTAATGTTTCATTATGTTTATTATATTTAAAGTATAGAGAGATCATTAAAATTCAGACTGGAAAGACAAATTTTTAGAAAATATATTTTTTCTAAATACGATTTTTCTTGTAGAACTGAGTCTAGAAATAAAAAAGCATGAACAGTCCTACAATTAAAGATACTGAAGCTGTGGTTAAAAAATTCCTACAGGGCAAACACAAAGCCCGAGTCACTTGGTGAATTCTACCAAGTTTTCAAGAAATAAATAAATATCCCAATTTTACACAAAATCTTCCAGACCATAGAAAAAAGAAGAAATATTATATTATACTGTGAGGCAAATATAAGATAGCTGGTACCAAATTAGGATAAAAGAGCAGTAGGAACACAATAATAAACCCTTTTTCACTCATGGATAAGCACAATCCCAAAATGACACATCAGAAAATCCAACAGTATTAAAAACAACAAAACAAAAACATTCTGCAATCATATTTTGAGTTTATCCTGGGTACACAAGGATGATTTTATACTAGAAAACCCATAAATCAATTTGTTACATTAACTAATCTAAACAGATACAGAAAAAGCATCTTATGTGCCTCAACGTAAGATTAACATGCAAAAGTCAGTTGCATTGCTACACACTAAAAGAAAACAACCAGAAAGTACAGTTTAAGAGAAGACGCCAATTGTCATATCAAAGAATACCAAGGACCTTGTGGTAAATCTTACAATATATGCAAGACCTCTATAGAGAAAAGCATAAAACTCTGTTGAGATACCAAGAAGGAGCTTAATGAATGGAGAAAGATACCACGTTCACGGGTAGAAAGACCATTGATAGAAATATCATGATCTAAAGGGTCAGTAAATCAAACAAAATCCCAATAGTGATTTTCCCGGTGGCTCAGTGGTGAAGAACCCACATGCCAATGCAGGAGACATGAGAGACATGGGTCCAGTCCCTGACTTGGGACGATACCCTGGAGGAGGGCATGGCAACCTCACTATCCTTGCCTGGAGAATCCCATGGACAGAGAGCCCAGCCGGCTACAGTCCACACCATCACAAAGAGTCGGATACAACTTAAGTGACTTAGCATACACAGAGTCAGCAAATAAGCAAAATCCCAATACTGAACTATTCATGGAACTTGATACTATGATTTTCAAATTTATATTAAAGAATAAAGGGCCAGGATATTTCTAAAGAAAAACAGAAAAAAGAGGACTTGTCCTACTAGACCCCAGGACTTATTCTGAAGCTGTAGTTTAACAGAGTAGTGAGCCTGGAAACAGCACCCTGGACATGTATATATCTTGGCTCCATAACAAAGGTGGCATTATCCTACCCATGGAAAGATGGCACCATCCACTAAAAGGATCTAGAGAAAATGGTTATCCGTACAGAAAAGGAGTAAGTGACTCTCTCCCTCACATTGTTAACAAAAATCAGCTCCAAATAAAGGACTTAGAATCTAAGTATTAAGTCTGACTTACTGTTAAACAGTAAGTTAAACTCTAAGTAGAAAATACAGATGAGTATCTTCTAAAACTTAAGGAACTACATATTAAGTAAGACAATAACAGTGATGTATTCAATTAAACTTGTTTATGAAAAGAAATTTTGCTCATTAAAAGATGATTTAAAGAAAGTGAAAAGACAATAAACTTGGAGAAAGTAATCACAATATATACACCTGACAATTAGTATTAAGAATACGTATGTATGCTACTACAATTAAAAATAATAATTTAAAAAAGAATACATAAAGATGATCTACCTAGGGCTTCCCTGGTGAGTCAATGGTAAAGAGTCCTCCTACCGATGCAGGAGACATGGGTCCAATCCCTGGTCTGGGAAGATCCCGGACATGCAACTAAGTCCGTGCACGACAACTCCCGAGCCTGTGCTCCAGCACCCAGGGACTGCAGCTGCTGCAGCCCTCGCGTCCTGGAGACTCTGCTCCAGAGCCAGAGAAACCAACGCAGTGAGAGGCACTGCACCTGAGAGCGGCCCCTGCTTACCGCACCTAGAGCGACCAAGACCCAGCACAGCCAAAAATAAATAATAAAAAGTTTAAAAACTTCTAATAAAGCAAAAAAAAAGTGCAAGGAAAGTGCAAGGGTCATTAAGAATTTCGCAGAAAAAGAAACATGGCCAGTCATCATATGAATATTATCAACATCATTAGTAATCAGGGAAATGCAAATCAAAACCATATGAGATGTGCAGTTTTACCATCGTTTGATTTGAAAAAAATGAAAAGTCTGGTGATATCAAGTGTTGAAGATATGGATCCACAGTATCTCATACATCACTGGTGGGAGTGTGAGCTGGTAGGACCATGATGGAAAGCAGTGTGACCTTACCTCCTAAAGAAGGACATCACAAACTCTGCAGCCCAGAAATCCTACTTTGGGTACTCAAGAGAATTCCTGTAAGTGTATAACAAGAAACATGCATAAGATTACTACAAAGCAAAAACTTGGAAACAAATGAAACAACCCAAATTTACCTGATGAGTAACCAGTATATTCACATAGTGCAGTATTTACAGTAGATGAAACAAATGAACAGCAACATACGATATAGTTAAATCTCAGTAATAGAACATTAAGTCTAAAAAAGCAAGTCCCAGGTTATATATATCATGACATTCTTTTTATACTTAAAAACAAGTAACTAAAATACATACAGAGACATACATACACACTTAAGGCTACACAAAGATGCAATAAAATTGTACTAAAAGAAAAGCAAAGTACTGATAAACCCAGGAGACCTGCCAGTGGCTACCAGAGAAGGGAGTGGACTGGTGAGTCATCCTTATGGTTACATATAGATCTTGTAGGATTCTACTTTTTGGTTAGGTGGGAAGGTTGCATTAATACAAGCAGGCCATGTAAGGACCAATGTATGAAGTATCAGGACTAATCCAAAATGCCTGAGGTCCAAAAAAGCAGCAATACATGCTGCTTCTTTTAAGGCTTCAAAAAAGCAGCATGGTACATGCTTTCACACACACATTAAAGGAGGTGTGACATTATAAAACACTTCAGGCAGATAACATGAAAAATCAGATGAAATGGGCAAGTTCCCAGAGAAGTGTAAGGTAGCAAAACAGATGCAGGTCGGTGGAGCCTGCAAAATGCAGGAAGGAAAGGGTGAGGTGGCCGCCAGGCTGCGTTTGGGAGTTCAGCGGGTGGACACACAGGAGGGGAAGCAGCGGTGACCGGGTGTGTCCTGACTGCTCATCCCATGGGACCCCGCAGGGACAACGCGGAGAACATGTACTACTTCTCCGAACTGGCCCTGACTCTCAACGAGCACGAGGAGGGGGTGGCGCCCACAGACAGCCGCCTGCGGCCGGACCAGCGGCTCATGGAGAAGGGCCACTGGGACGAGGCCAACACGGAGAAGCAGCGGCTGGAGGAGAAGCAGCGCGTCAACCGGCGCCGGCGGCTGGAGGCCTGCTCCCACGGCTGCGGGGTGGACGAAGGTGAGCCGAGGGGAGAGCGGCCGGCGGGAGAGGCCAGGGGTCTCCCAGGGGCTGGGAGGAGCTGGGGCAGGAAGGGGTGTGGGAGAGGAGGAGGCATCCCAGCAGCGGGGAGGGGGACAGGGAGTGGCTTTCCCGGGTGCACACGTCACCCACCCCTGCCCCCCGCCGTGCTGCCCAGCAGAGAAGGAGGCCGAAGTGTATGTGCCGCTGTGGTTCGAGAAGAAGCTGGACCCGCTGACCGGGGAGATGGCCTGCGTGTACAAGGGAGGCTACTGGGAGGCCAAGGAAAAGCAGGACTGGCACATGTGCCCCAACATCTTCTGAGCACCACCCCCTCCTGCAAATACAGGCGCCTGCACAGCCTGCTCCACCTCCTGTTTAATGCACTCAATTTAGTACTCAGTGGCCCTCCCATCCCACCTTTCCCTTCTGTTTTTTAATAACACTTTTTTGGGGCTCTCACCTTGGAAGGAGGAAGTGCTGACCCGGGTTCTCTCAAGCCCCCAGGTGCCCCGGGTCGCCCACCCCCCTTCATCACTGACTGGGGCCCCCCTGGGGCCCCCAGCTCCAGTTTCCACAACTCAGGCAGGCTGGTCCAGGCCCTGGGCTGCCTCAGTCACCAGCCCCCCAGGGAGGAACCGGCCCCTCCCAGGGAGCCACTTCCGAGTTTTTTAGAAAAAGTTCTCTCCCATTTCTTTTCAGCCGAGATGTTTAGTAAATGCTTTCAGTACAGCACTTGGTGGGCAACTTGCTAAGTGTGCTTTCTTGCCACACGAGTGTCCGGGCAAGAGCCCCTTCTAAGACATCAGGAAGCCAGGCCCTTTAGAGTCAGAAGCACCGTGCACCTCAAACAGAAAGGCCCTTTGTCTCCGAGCTGCCGGCCCCCCTGAAGCCCAGGACCCCCAGAGAAAGGAACCAGGAGAGCACAAGTCTCTGGAACTGCAGCCCCACCCACGGTTGAGAAGGGGCCCCGAGGGGCCGCCATGTGGGTCTGAGGACAACCGCCCCTGTGGAGCCCCGGCCACCTGGGCTGCTCCCCAGCCCCGAGGGGCCTGGCGGGCCTGCAGGTGCTTCTGCCACAGAACCACGCCCAAGTCAGCAATAAGAACCAAGCCTCGGCCCAGCCTGGGCTGGTGGCCTGGGCACCTGAGAACCCAGCGTCCTGCCTCTGGGGTACCCCATCTCAGCACCCCTGAACTCTTTATTTGCCTGATTTATATATATGAGATATAAATATATATAAAATAGCTATTTTGCTTAAATTTCTATGGTATGTAGAAGTGAAAAAATGATGAAGACAGGCTGCTCCTGTCTGAGTTTGGCCTTCCTCTCAGCGACGCCCCATCCTCTCCTCAAACCCCCTCCCAGTGGCTTCTGCCAACCGAGGGGGGTGATGGGACTGGACCCCTGTGGCCACTGTCCCAGCCCCTCAGAACTCCTATTTCAACCTCTCACTTTGGTTTGATCCTGAAAATTCATCACAGGGTTTTACTTTCTACTCCAGCACTGGTTCTGTTTTTATAAAAATACAAAAGTGAAAACACCAACATATGAAATGCCTTAGGGTGCCCACTGGAGGGTGGGCAGGCGGCCCCACACAGACTGTGGCAGAGCTGTTCAATGTTCTTCTTTGCAGAACTGTGTGAGTGAGCACCTTCCGACCAGTAATAATAAAACCTTGGATTTGGAGTTTTCCATGGCCCTGTCCCTACATCTGTCCACGACTGGGTGAAACAAGGCTGACACAGGAGAGCGGGGGACGGCCCACAGGTGGCCCAGGGGAGCGCTGGTCTGGATGGGGCAAGGGGGCAGAAGCCCTGGTGGGACAAGGTCTGGGGAGGAAGGCTGCAGAGGGCGGAGGCGGCACCCAGCAGACAGTCACCGTTTGGCCTGGGGCCAAGGCAAGGCCCTCACCACTCTCCAAGGGAACACTGGCCCTGGTGAGTTCTAGGGCTGCTCACCAACCAATACCTGGGACACTTTGTTGCCCCCAGGTCGCCAAGCAACTTGGATCACTAGCTCTTGGGACTCAACCAAGGGTGACTGGTCTGGCCCAGTGAGTGGTGCTCCCACTGCCGGCATTTCCAGGTGAGAGGAGGGAGTCAGGCAGGGTGCCATGAGGGTGAGAACCAGGTGCCAGTCATCTATCACAACACCCCAGTGCTGTGGGATCCAAGACTGGCAACCACACACAGCACCTTCCTCTCTGTCTGTGGGGAGGCAAGCACCAGTGAGTCCTGGCCAAGCTGCTGGAGGGGCAGCTCTCACTGGAGAGACGGGCAGGGATGAGGCAACCCCAGGATGGCTTGAGCAGGAGGCAGGGGAGGAGGATCTGCTAGGGGAGGGAATGGACTTTTGGTGTCAACAGCACATAAAAGCTGGTGGTGGGGGGTTTAGTCACTCAGTCATGCCTGATTCTTGACACCCCATGGACTGTAGCCCACCAGGCTCCTCTGTCCACGGGATTCTCCAGGCAAGAATACTGGATGGGCTGCCATCTCCTTCTCCAACATACATAAAAGCTAGCTACATACAAAAAACTGATACTCCAAATTCATAAGCACATGCCCAAGCTGGTTTTACACAGAAATGCAAGAATGGGGCAAAATCGTTCAGTTTTTAGTTGTAAATCATTCATTATACCAACCAGTTCAAGAAGGACTTCTCCTTCTGGATGGTAGACTAGGTGCCTGGATAATCTCTGTGGAAAACTAGACATGCTAGGTAAAACTTTAAAACATCTTAAATGCATCCATGAGCTGGAAGAAATATAAGGAATCCTCAGGCCAAGAATTAAGCGGGTGTAGAAATTGGGAGATCATAGCTCTAAAGCCTGCTTCTCAGCCAGTTACTGACGCCATTGAGCCTGTTTTCACTGCTTCAAAGGACCTGCCTGATACAGAGCATCCAGTAGGGGATACTCTTCCTCAAGCTGGGCTCCCATAGGGCTACACTTTCAATATTGATGGGGAATCAATAATTTCTGATCAACAAAAGCAAGGAAAATTGCTTGTCTTAAAAGTCAGTCGTGAGCAAAGCAGGAAAAAGAATCTAAGGATGTATAATCAGGAGTAGACTCTCACTTGGCTTCACAGCCCAAATGTTATCAGGATGGTCCAAGAAAACTTCTAGTAGAGAATACAGCACGGTCCCAAACTGGCAATGTCCTCAGTCACACAAGAGAAGCAAATCCTCTCTAGAGGCTCTCTCCTTCATTCCAGGGCTTATGGAACCCCAGACGTAAAACTGCAAGGAAAATGAGCAGCTCACAGTATTAACATCTCCAAACACACAGGGAAATACAACCACAAATAGGAATAAGCAATGGCCTACAAAAATAACAGCAGAATCAGACATAACAAAACTCCTCAGTATAGTGAAATTAACAAGACACAATATAAAATAAACATGTTTAATGTATTTCTAGTAACAGGTGGCTTGAAAATGAATTTAAAAGCATTCAAAAATACTTACAAAGAACTTACAAAAATTTTTAAAAATTACCAAAAATAACGAATAATTTTATAGCAGACTACACACAAAGAGAATATTAATGACATGGAAGTGCAATCTGTGGAAACTATCCAGAAAACAACACAGATGCACAAAGAGGTGAAAAACATGAGACATGGAGGATAAAGAGAAAATGTCCCATGTATGTCTAATCAAAATGGAACAGAAGCACTCTGTTAACGACTAAAAAGATCAACTTTTTAACAAGAAACACCAATATACAATACAGAGAGTCAATTCCATCAACTTCCAGTCAGAATAAATAAAAAGACATCCATAGCTAAATAAAATATAGTGAAATTGCAAGACCTTTAAAACAAGATTTTAAAAGGACCCAAATCTGGGTGGGGGATACTCTCAACAAGCACTGATCAGAGAGTTTACTTCTTCTGACCACCAAAGAAAGCCAGAAAACAGTGAAGTGACTGCTCCAAAGTAGAGGAGAAAAATATTAGTATTCCCAGTGGAAATATATTTCGGGAACCAAAGCAAAATAAAGACATTAACAAAATATCTTATTAAAGCAATATAAAATGGCTTATAGAGTTAGACTTTGATGAGTTAAGTACTATGTAAAACATATAGAAAAATAGGAATATTACATTTCTAAAATACAGGAAGAACACTGTATGTGGGAAAGGAATTTTCAATTAATCGAAAGGAAAGAAGAGGAAAAAGAAATGTAGATAGGGTGGAAAAACCATGAATATGGTAAAATTGCAGGATATAAAATTAATACACAGAAATTCCTTGCATTCCTATACACGAACAACGAAAAATAAGAAAGAGAAATTAAGGAGACAATCCAATTCACCATTGCAATGGAAAGAATAAAATACTCAGAAATAAATTTACCTAAAGAAACAAAAGACCTGTATGCAGAAAACTATAAACACTGATGGAAGAAATCAAAGATGACACAAATATATGGAGAAATACACCATGTTTGTGAATTGGAAGACTCAGTATAGTGAAAATGAGTATACTAGCTAAAGCAATCCAGACATTCAATGCATTCCCTATCTAACTACCAATGGCGTTTTTCACAGAACTAGAAGAAATAATTTCACAATTTGTATGGAAACACAAAAGACCTTGAATAGCCAAAGTAATCTTGAAGAATGGAACTGGAGGAAACAACCTTCCTGACTTAACACTATACTACAAAGCTACAGTCATCAGGACAGTATGGTACTGGCACAAAGACAGAAATGTAGATCAATGGAACAAAATAGAACGTCTAGAGATAAATCCATGCATCTATGGACACCTTATCTTTGACAAAGGAGGCAAAAATATACAATGGCTAAACAAGTCTCCTCAACAAGCAGTGCTGGAAAAACTGGTCAACTACACTCAAAAGAATGAAATCAGAATACTTTTTAACACCATACACAAAAATAAACTCAAGATGGATTAAAGACCTAAACACAAGACCCCAGAAACTATAAAACTCTTACAGGAAAACATAGAACACTCTTCGACATAAATCACAGCAAGATCCTCTGTGACCCACCTCTCAAAGTAGTGGAAATAAAAACAAAACAAACAAATGCGACCTAATTAAACTTAAAAGCTTCTGTACAATGAAGGGAACTATAAGGTAAAAAGACAGCCTTCAGGATGGGAGAAAATAATATCTCCAAAATATACAAGCAGCTCAATACCAGAAAAGCGAACAACCCAATCAAAAAGTGGACAGACATTTCTCTAAAGAAGACATTCAGATGGCTAATAAACACATGAAAAGATGCTCAACATCACTCATTATTACAGAAATGCAAATCAACACCACAATGAGATATCACCTC